TTTCCTGAGGCCCTTCTTTACATGATTCATAACTCCTGTGCTTGTTCTAACAGACTATCACTTTGCACCTACATGATAAAAACCTCAGCTGGGAGTTAAAAAAAAGAGTGGCTGTAAAGATGCACTGGTTATTTTGGGTGATGTTTCCTTCAGCTGTTGATTTTTTTTTAAGTGATGTAATCAACTAACTAGGGCTTCATCAAAAGTCCATGCTTTGGTTTGTTTCTCTGTCTGTTTCTTCTGTGTTGGTGTAAAAAAAAAAAAAAAAAAGCTTGCCATTTGCTGCTGGACCAGCCTCTACCCATGGCTCTGCCCCTGTCGCTGCTGCTGCTGCTGCTGCTGCTTCCTCTTCCTCCGTCTCCTCGCCCCTCAGTGCAGGTCTCTGCTCGGTTTAGTTCTGCTAGTTTCAGCCTCCTAACACCTTTTGTGTTCACTGCTTGGAGCTGCTGCCTCCACCTCACCGCTGCATCAACCGCCTGATCCTCGCCTGCTCATTGATGTTGCTGCACACCCAGACGTCTGGCATGGCTTTGTCTGCTCTCACTCACCAGCACAGGGATGTGAACAGACGCTCATTAGCCCCAAACCTTCACAAATGTAACATGATGTGGAGCCACCATTTCAGCCAGTGCACCGTACACCTCCAGCCACACACTAATCTACACCTTTCCTCTGATGCTGATGTTTTTTAAAGGAATCTGTTTCCTAGAGACAGTACGCAGTAAAGAACCAACTTAAAGCCAAGTTCTTGTCGTTTCTAAACAGTAACTATTGAACCCAACACAGTCTGGTAACATTCTACAAACTTTGAACTTTTTGAATCCCAAACTGAGACACGTTTACTTAGATCTACAAGAACTTTGTATTTAAGAGTCAACTGTGTTAGAAGCTTGTGATGCAGCGACTGCTCATCCGTCTCCATCTTATCTCACCTTAATGGGGTCCGTATTTGTTGGGACACTTTCTGGTTGTTCTAGTTCTGGGCTGTGACAGGACTCTCAGTCATCTTCTCAGTCTTGTCTTCTCCTCCGTCCTAAAAACAACACAGAAGACATGAAGCATTATAAAAGACGTCCAATATTGAATAAAAACCAGTTATTTATTTCAGCTGATCACAAACCCTACGATGTGAACTTTTTATTTCAACTTTCAGTAATTTAACTAATAACTTCATGAACGAGGCCAGTGGAGAAGATCTTAAGACTGAAAACCACATGATTGTTAAAATGGAAAATCATCTTCAAAATGATCCGAGTGAAGTGGAGAAAAAAATCTCTAGTTATTACAACTATATATATATTTATATTCATACATTTCTGCCTGAAAACAAAATCATTCAACAGATTTAATGAAGTTCAACAATTTGACCATTTTTGTAAAATTTCAGTCACGCTTTTAAAATCCAAAGAGCTGAATATTCATGGTCAGTAATAAGTTTAATAAAGGTCTTGTTTTTGTTTTTCTTTTGTTTTTCGTCTGCCTTGAACTCAGGAGCTAACCATATCAATGTAGCGACGTCTCCGTCGTTGACCACAGCTGACAACAAAGTCAAACAGCTCTGTTTGTGACTTTATTATTCAACCATCAAATGAATGCTGATGCCGAGGAACAACTGAGGAAGAAGTCGACCAAAGTCTTTCTACAGCCTGGGGCAGTAGTCCAGAGTCAAGGGGGCAGAATGTTGGCCATAGATTATATATGATTTTACTTCACACCTTATCACTAAATTGGTCATAGTGACCGTTCAACCCTCAGTGTTTACCCGAGGTTTCTTCGTTGTACTTGAGCCTCCTCATCATTCCCAGTGACAGCAGGATCGTAGAAGGCTCCTCAGTAGATCTGATCACAGGCAAGAACCTTCTGTCAAACCACAGATTCCAGCAGAGCATCAAGTGAAAGCACTGGATTCCCTGTGGCACCCGTGTGTGCACCTTTTTGCCGAGGTCTTCTTTATGATCAAAGGAAGAGGCAGGAAGACGAAGAGTGAGGGTCCAATTAAACGTAGCCAACAGAGGGAGCCGATGCATGGACGCATTAGGCCCCAACACTGACATCCCAGTAACACGGAGAAAAACCTCAAAAGGAATAGTATAGTAGAATATACATACTGCTACCAATGAATGATCAATATTTGATTTCAGTTATTCATTTATTTATCCATCTTTACGACTACTTTTACTTCTTTCTCAAGCTTTGGCTCCAGTGTTTCTCTGTAAAATAATAGGAGGAGAGGGAAGACGGTAAAATCTACCAAAAATACACAAAGAATCCAACAGGATCCTGCAACGCCAGAAGACGTCAGCAGGTGAAGTGATCTGGCAGCGTGAAACATCTTCAGAACAGAAGCAAATCTGAACGGCTGAAAGCTCAGCTCACGTTGTCCCGCTCTCTGGGGGTTGGAGAGAAGAATAAAAGAGGAGGAGGAGGAGGAGGAAGAGGAGGAGGAGGACTGCTGTTCCCAGAGTCCAGTCAAAGATGGAGGAGATACTCTGTGCTGGAGGGAGAACGGTGGCCCACTTGAAGCAGTTTCAAGGACACTCTGGATGGTCTAAATGAATTTAATCTAAGTCTCGTGGGTCTGGGAGTGTGTACAAAAGGACGCCCTAAGCTACACCCTTTTTTTCCTACTCCGAGTTTCTCCTCCTCAACCTTAGAAGAAGCCGCTCGACTAATTTGTCCAGCACTTTTTTTCAAAAAGAGACGAGGAAGAAAGAGAAGAAAAAAAAAAACACTTCTATCTCCGTGCCAGCTTTAAAGAGGATATTATTTCTTCACCCTGTAATCTTCTGCCCCAGTGAATCCTTTTGATTAGATTGTCAAATCATAAGCACTTCCGCAGGGACTAAGTCTCCTGACCACAGTGTTCGACTAAAGGAGTATCAGATGTAGTTTGTATTAGTCAAAGATCCTTGGCAGTGGGTTTGACATCGGGGTCATATTTTGTATAATTTCACTAGAAAAGTTTTTTTTTTTTACAAGTGCATTTCATCCAACTAATTATGGTGGGAGAAGTCCATATTCCCTGTGTTAATGCCTCCTGAGAAGCACCCCAAAGTCTGCATCACCTTCTGTTAACCTTCCCCTGAATCTGATCATCTCATCTGACATCGTCCTGACAACCACATCAGCCTCATTCACAGTCAATGTGAGAATCAAGATCAGGGTTGGACCCTTCTTGACTCCATCTCAACCTGACACTGGTCTCATTCTCAGGTACTGGAACGCTGTTAGCAGGAGCTGCCTCACTGCTCTGTCTCGGTGGAAGGTGTCATAGAAAAGTCTTAGAAAGGTTCTGACGTCTTTGCCTCGGATTGATAGGTGAGGATTTTCTGTTCACGATACCAAAGATTTTAAGGGTCACAGTCGAGGAAAGTCAAGTGTGCTGAACAAAAGAGGCCGTGAGTCACTGCTTTCCAGTGGATTCACCAGTTCTGATTGAACACCACTGCACCTGGTTACACAAGAGCGTCTCAAATCTGGTTCATCGCAAAGAACTAGTGTAATGTTTAATGGTCTAATTGGTGAGAACGCTTCAAATGTCTAATCTATCAATGGCACAACTTTTTATTTTCGGGCATCTCTCATTTACAATCAACAGCTAAATACATAAAAATACTACAAAAATACTTTGATAGCACAAAAAACAAACAAAAACAAACAAATCACAAACATTTTCTGTGGATCAACACAAAGTAGAACATACATGTAGTTGTCATGGTTTGTCTTTTTAAAAACTGACAGAATTATTATTACTCAGTCTCAAAGACTGGAGTGACATCACTACGTTGACCTTTGACCCTCTCTCATCTCCCTGCCTGTTGTTCTTCGGTGCAGGTACCTGCTGCCAGCGACCTCCCACTTCACCATGAAGTGGCCTTCATCCAGCTCCGGCCGCATCTCCTCAGCTACGCCACGCTCACGCAGCCTCTTTGCCGCAAGAATGACACACGTCTGAGGTCACCGTGGCGACCCTGGCGTCTAACACCTCGTCGTTGACCTCATCGTTGACCTCATCATCCTTCCATTGACTCTAACTCAGCCACACGTCGGTGTCACCAGTCTGGGTGCGGAACAGAACTTTGAGAAGCTCCGGACATGAAACAGGGCCCGGCCCTGGACGGAGTAACACGACGGCTGAACGACTACAGATCGCTTAGGGGCCTGGTTTGGTTTAGTTTAGTTTAGTTTAGTCTAGTCTAGTCTAGTTAGGCCCGGCTCAGACCAGCAGACCACAGAAACCCTCGTTCCCTCATTTTAGCCCCAGTAACACTAGACTTTGGGTTCAGACCTGTTTTCTTAACGTTACTGCTGTATAATAATACGTCTTGGTACTGTAAAAGGATACTAATACTAAATGATGCAAGAATGACTTATTTATTTATTTAATAAGTGACCCTGACTAAACATGGTAATGTTGAATGTTGTTTTTTTTTCTAAGAATATTATGCCTTGGTTGATTTGAGAAAAAAAATTATTTATAAATATTTATTTCATTGCTGTCATATTTGCAAATGGTTCATCAGTCACTTTATTTAATTTTTTTTTCTTTGCTGTTTGCAGTAACAAAGCCAGGTGACTCCTAAAGGGTTCAATTGAATGTCTCTTTTTCTTTCATGAAGTGTTTTGAATGTTAACGTAACGAAGCGCAGCTTTTTTTACCTCGTAGAGAACGGGCCGACGTCAGCAGGTGTGCAGGACGACGGGAGGACACGTGTGTGTGCGTGTGTGTGCACATTACCACGGCGTTTGCATGTTTAGATTTTAGTAACTCCAGGGAAAAGATGCGTGTCGGGAATATACTTGAAGTTCTGTGTTGTCAAAGGTTGTTCCGTCTCTTTGGTCTTGATAATTAATGTTTGTTTTTACGATGGTTCCTTGAGTGACCGGGGTCGTGGGCAGAACTGTTCTGTAACAGAGGTGATTCTTTTGGAATGATCAGACGCAGGTGTTTGGTGCCATGACGAGCACGTCTGCTTCATGTCTTCAGGTCGCTGTGGTTTAAACGTACATTTCCTGAGGCATCAGAGGGAAACGGTGGTGAATGTCAGCTGATGGAAAAGCAACGTTGACGTGTAGCAGCGAGGTCGGCTCTGCGTCCCGGTCCATCTGATAACACACTGACTACAACTTTAAACTTCTAGTAGTTTAACTCTACCGTCCAGGACGTCGTCAGTTTTGTGACACGGTGTCGACTAATTACTGGTGTAGAAGTGCCGTCTTCAATCTGCTGAAATTCAATTTACCCCACACTTTTAAATTTACTCAAATCAACGCCAAATCTGTCTTTATGTTGCCAGAGTGTGTTATTTAAGAGTAGTCCTTTCAAAGTGCAGGCATGAGGTTTTTATTTTACACAGCAATAAAATGTTTAAACAAACACAATTCACGTTTTATGGCGCTGCTTTCTTTTTACTGCCTTTTTACACGGACAAAGTTGGCGATCAAAATCATTTCAGGAAAACAGATAGATATAGAGGTGAGAGAACGGAAAACGAAAAATTTGTATTAAAGAGGGAAAAAATGACCTATGTTGGCGTTTCTGTTATAAAATGAAAAATGGCCTATGTTGGCGTTTCTGTTATAAAATGTTATTAGTTTAAAAAGTGTTTAAAAAATGTTTAATTATATCAACTCCATAATGTATTACTGAACGAACCATTAACATTTTCTTTATGGAAGTAAAACTGTAGGAGTTTTCACTGCAGCCTGTGTAACAGAGAGGTAGAAAAAAAATAACCTTCAAAAAACATTTGCTCCTTTACCAAGAACAATACGGCCTGACTTTTCTATCATCACGCTGCTGATTCATACAGTCTACTTTACACTGCACTTCACACACGTTTTACAATCGACCAGTCATTGGTATCTAACCTACTACGTCAACCTGGAATCTAACCCACAACCCTCCAGGTCTAAGACAACTTGATAACCTCCTGAGCCACAGCCACGCTCCAACACTTTCTTTGTCAGCCGCGGCTCCCGTGGACCCGTGACACCTCTGACCTGTCACTTGCCTCTGAAAATGAAAGTGTGTTCCCAGCAGCCCCGACTTGTTCCACGCTGACCTGGAATCCATGTTGCACAGACGTGTGCACACGGGAGCAAAACAGAGTCAGTTTTATTTAGACTTGTAACAAAAGCTCTGCACTGGAGTCGCGGTGACCTCCCTGCCCCGGCTTCCTCTTCCATCCCTCTCTCGTTCCCCCTTTCTGTCAACTGAGGGGGTGCAGGGCACGACCTTGAAGCTCTCCAGCCTCGGCTTTGGCCAAGGCTCCCACGACCAGACGAGAGCGGAGGCTGACAGTGCAGCACTCTGACTCTGGAAAGCTGTCCAAAAATACCTCCCCTAACAACGGGGCAGTGCTGTTCCGTCCTGACCTTTCCAAACATCACTCCCCTCCTCCCTTCCTCAGCAATTGCTCTTTGTCTTTCTCGTCCACCTTGTACCGTAAGTGACGCTGGCAGCTCCACCGCCGACCTGGGGGCTTCTTCAACAGCTAACCAACACTCAGACGTCCCAGTTTCAGAGCCCCAGGCCAACCTGTCCACACTGGAGGGTGAGGAGTCAACTGGACGCCTCAGAGACACAGAGATAAAACTGACACACACACACACACACACACACACCCAAACGCTGATGATTAAGATTATTATTATACTTAGAAGCCACTGAAGCCTGTGCTGTAGTTAACAGCAGTGTGACTGGGAGTGGTCACTCCACGGCCTCAGGGGGGCGCTCCACACCTCTGCCTCAGCTGTCAGCCCACAGTCGTGCTGTGATTCTGTTTCCCTGTTTGTCTAATGTCAGTCTGTACACGTGGACTATGTCAACATATGTTTACTGCCACGTTTTATTAGTTTTCCTGCACCGACGCCTACGCCTGTGTCCTGACGTGTGTGTGTGTGTGTGTGTGTGCGCTCGATGTATATCCTCAAAGGGACACAGTCGGTGACACCTGCCGCAAAACAATTTCAGCTGCGCGTCGCTTACAACATGTTTTGTCTCAGCAGGGGTTCCGCATGGCAACAGAAACACACACACACACACACTCAGATAAACACACACTCAGATAAACACACACTCAGATAAACACACCGAGGATGAGCTCAGATTTTTTACTATCTGCAAACCTGTCGTATTTTTTCTCTCTCGTTGACGTTTCTTTTACTATCTGCTCGTATTTTTTCTCTCTCGTTGACGTTTGGTTTCATTCAAGCTCTGATTCCAGTTCCTTGAATGACCCCGGGGTCACGCTTCGCCTCAACCTTTCCTTTCATTCATCCCGCGGCCGTGATTTACGACCTCAGATGATTTAAGTGTAACGTGATCAATCACGGAGCGGCTCCTGCTACGATGTGTCTCACAGAGTCTGACACTTCTCATCAATGGCGTAACGTCACGTGGGTGTAGCGTGTTCTCAGGGCGACATGACCTTTAATGAGTGTGTTATCTGATTTAGTACGCCGAGTGTAATGGAGGCTTTTCAAAATCTTATTCTGAGGGTTTTAGGCTCATTACTTTATCGGTTCGTCATGTGACTTTACACGAGGACGTAGCTGTGGTAAAGAACGATCGTAAATCATTGGCAATAAAGCAACTTCAAGGATCAGCTACTATGACATAATGACATCACGACCCTATCTGTATGTGCCATGGGCATTCACTAGTCACTGGCATACAGCTTTAGCACAGCCTGCAGGGGAGACAGGAGCACTGCATGTTTTTTATATTCATAGAGGAAGACAAAATCCCTGCACGAGTGACTTTAAAACATGTTGAAAAAAACATCATGAAATATATCAGCAATAGTAAGAGAATATCTGGTCCAAATAGTTCAAGTCAAAATCACTGGTTTTCTAAAACAAAATGGCCGTCTCCAGATTGGTTAGTAAAACTCCTTGAATCATTTCTAAAATGATTGTCTTGTGTTTATGTTTTGGAGTTTACTGCAGGCACACGGAGGTCGACTCAGTAAAACATTCCAGGTAAAAAAAAAAAGGTTTTGAAAATTTCCTCACAACAAAAAATTGTGATGAAAAAAAGCATGTTTTTTATTGTTGGACACATGCGTGCGGCCGCTGAGTAAGAGACGTTTGTCAATAAACAGTAAGGCTGTGCTGCGTCGGAGACAGGAAGTCCTTCAGTGTGGTCTCCTTTGATCCACCCACATGTGGTGGATGAACCACATCAAGGGAACAGCCTTGTGCTGAGCACGCAGGCTGTTCTGGCTCTGTTTCCTTCACGTTCATTCATTGACACACCTGCACCTGGGGACCCGTGCAGAGTCGAGTGACCTCCGAATAGTTGTCTCTCAGTGACAACACAAAGACTCTGAAGAGCTCTTCTTCTAGAATCGAACCCGCGACCCTTGACCTGCGACACTAACAACCGCCGTGCTGCTGCTGCTGCTGCTGCTTCTGTCTGTGTACTCATCGACTCAGGTCAACTGCATCAGAATGCTCTGCACCACTTTCCCACGTTAACCTTGGCTTCAACACTCAAGGAGTCCACTGTACTTTACTTCAGCCACGGGGGCTTAAAGATGAGCTCAGTTCTGCATATGGCCATCATTCACAGCCCCAGGCTCCCCCCAAGTCCCTGTCTTCAGCGTGTATAACAAATGAAGCCAAGCAGTGACGGTATTAATACGAGGGAACAGGCCCTGTGGTCGGAATACAGCAGGAAGTCACTTCCTCTCCCATCTGGTCCCCTAACAAGACAGAGAGGAGCGGGCAGGTGTGAGTGCTGGTCTGCACCTCCGCCGGGTGGATTAGCACTTCTGATAGATGTAGAGAGAGAGACAGAGTCATCCTCTCTTTCCCCCCGGTTCCTTCCACCTTCTCCCCTCACTCGTGTCCTTGCCTCTCTAGCCCTCCCTCTGCAGTGGGTTTGACTGGAAATGAAAATAAATGAGGTGGTGGGAGACATTCAGCCCTGGTGACGGTGCACGCCCGTACCTGCCTCTGCCCTCGCTGCCTTCACCTGTTTTTGGGGACTCTTCATCCACTCTCTGCTCAACGCCCCGGGGGACGGATTGAGCTCCGCAGACCTGGATATTATCAATACATCCCCTCCAGGCAGCCTGGGAGACAGGACACTGAGCCACTGACTCGCCCTCTGCCTATTAGTCCACTGCTGAGCATCAGTGTGTGAGGAAACAGCTGATGTGACTGGAGCCTGGCCAACCAGGCCTGATCCTTGACTTCTTTTTTCTAAAAAGTCTGTTTCCACCTTTTTGTTTCCATCTTCGTTCACTCACTGCCTCCTCCTCCTCCTCCTCCTCTTCCTCCTCCTCGGCCTAACGCCGACTCCTACATCTCTTTTCACAAAATGATTTTGTCCAGTTCTCTGCCTTTGACCAAGTCAACTTCCACCTACACACTCCACCTACTGAGGGCCGCTGATCTGATCACAACATTCTGATTTCACATTTCACATGGGCAGAATAACGAACACGGTCCAAAGAGGTTAGTGGTCAGAAACTGGACGCTTCGTTCCTCAGCTGAGGAACTTCATCAGTTTCTGTCAAGCTGTGAAGAGTCGACGGGACAGGACTATGGTCTAGACAAGGATAACTGCTAGTGTTCCCTCTTACATCAACCAGAAACTGATGAAGTTCTTCAGTTGAGGAACGAAACGTCTTTCAAGCTCCAAGAAGACGTCATGTTCTAGTTTGATTAGCTACAATTATTCCTTCATTTAAACTGTTTGTTAGTTGTTTCTTTTTTTTAACCTGTTCTTAATGAAATTTACGTTTCAAATGTGTACGACCAAAAGACCACTATTGGAGTATCTCAACAGACAGCCATGGGGCCCCAGCCCCCATGTTGATTACCAGCTGGATTTTCTTTTCAAGCTCCACAGAGGAGGTTATCTGCAGTTTGGTCTCCGTCAGACGCTGCTTCAGTCCAACCTTCAAGGTTTAGTCAACTTTCCTCTCCGACTCAAATAAATGACAAATCCTTTCCAACCTCTGCTTCAACCTTGATGGAGGAAAGTGAACAACCACAGCTCTGGAGCCAGCAACTGCTTAGACCACTTTTTTTTTTAAAGAAAATCGTAAGTCCCAGTTCTAAATGGTTTCTATAAACCTACATGACTGGTAAATTCTTGACGACGACACTTCAGTTCCACTGACACAGGTCGGCTCCTGAGATCAATCCAAATGTAGCCTGACAAGAAAAAAAGAATTCCTCTCCACAGCTGCTTCAGTTCTGATGCTACAGAGGAATTCTGTGTAACATTGACTCAAACAAAAACTCTTTCAAATATGAGGCTGACACTAATTAGCCGACAACGGCGCTGAGAGCAAATTGTTCTGTGGTATCTGCAGATCTTAAGCCATCAAACCATCTCCGTTTTCAATAATTAGTGAAACATTTTCACAGCAAGAAACAGAAGCTGCAAAATAATTGGTGCTTCTGTCTGGAGTGTGTGTGTGTGTGTGTTAGTCACTACATCACCATTAAGATCTCTTGTTTGGGGTGAGCGTTTTTTCAGAATGAAAAAAAAAAAAAATTCCACTACAATGAAGCTTCGAGTCCTGAGACATTAAACTGTTGTGCTTGGTGCTTTATGTGGAATAAAAAATAGAATAATTTCTTCCCACTGCAGTGTTTCAAAGACCAAACGTTGATATTCATTGATATAAAATCCGATAGATCGTCTGATACGCACATCGGCTTCAAACTGCCCTGGTGGTGAGAAAAAAGAAAAAGATCTGTGTGAACTCTGAACCCTGACTGTAGATCGTTGTAACATGAACTCATTCCTCCATCTGTCTTTTAATCTAAATGATCAAATGGACTCAGCAGTTTCAGACTGAAGCTGGAGAACCAAGGTCTCCGAGGAAACACCAACGCTGACTGACAGACCAGGAGACAGACGGGGAGCAGAAGAATTTCTGGGGAAATTAAACCTGCCACACACACACGTACTAAGTACAGCTCACACCACGGTGATGACTACAGGACTACAGTGTTTAAAACAGGGCTGTCAGTCAGAAGAACAGCACAGCAGCATCTTAACATCCAGGCGCCTCAGAGGCTGCCGTCAGATAACCTCTCTCTGCTTAAAGACGCCCCGCCATCAAACGTGGGCTGCTGCCACACCAACGTCCCACTGCACCACCTACACGGAGGTGACAGAAGAGTGACTTCCTCCAGCTGGAGGACCACTTCCTGTGTGGTGTTGGGTGTGTCCGTGTACTGACATGTAGTTGACAGAGTCATTATTAACACTCTTTATCAATAAACCAATCAGGTTAAAGATTGACCTCGTTGGACATCACAGCCTTTACTAAAGTGCAGCACATCACAATTCCTTACAGTCCTCCAACACTACAGCAGTGCTTCTCAATATGTGGGGCAGGTCACTGGTGGGGAACAGAGACATGACGGCTGGGGTCTGACAACTGGTAGGGAAATTTCACAGATTTGAAATGGAGTTGAAGGAGACATGACTGCTGGGGTCTGACAACTGGTAGGGGAATTTCACAGATTTGAAATGGAGTTGAAAATGATCTAAAATATTTGAAGAACCACTGACCTACTGTACAGTAACACATTCAATTCAAAAAATACAATAAAATAAAGTCACACCTGAGTCTAAGCCACAGCCAAAGGATGAAAACAAACTGATGTAGTCTATCAGTTAACAGTTAACTTGATCCATGCCAGGAACCTGTACAGGAACCCGAGGGCTGGTTGTATTCAGTTTGAGAAGTTCAGGTCACAGAGGTCACCTCAGTCTGACTTTGGTCCATTTTTGTCAAATTGCTTTCAATAATCAACGCAACGTTTGAGGCGTCGCCTTAAATTTAACCTTTGGATCTGAGCACGGTGTAACATCTCCAGAAGTACTTCATGTTTAAACACAACTCTGTGTAACCTTTGTTAAAAATTTAGCCGGTGTGAAGTAAAAAGTTTGAGATTTTTTTCTATGTCAAATCCGTCACTGCTAATTAGCCAAAGTCAAACCCCTGATACAGACCTGTACGTTCTCCAACACGTTGAAAGCAGGTGTCTCTCAGTCTTGCCTGTGGCGGCGTATTAGATATGAATGTGTGCCTCTCTAATTGTGTGGGTATGCTACTGAATTTGCATGTGCGCACGAGCACGTGTGCTGTGTCACCGCGTTACTGTGTGTTTCAGTTAGAGCAACGCGCCCTCGCCGAGCAACTCAAAGTGGATGAGCCGGAGGGGCCCGTAGGGGTTGGTAAAAATAGCCCAGAGGCTGATTAGGAGCCAGTAGGCAGAGGGATTTTAAAAACCTGCTCATTACCGTACCTGTAAGGCCTCTTTAAGTAGCCATTCTGCACAGCCCAGCTGCTCACATCTGCCAGGAGCTGTTCGCCATCCCCGTAAACTCCTCTCACGCATTCCTCCAGGGGCGGGACATCACAATGCAAGACGACGACAATGGCGGGTAAGACTCTGTCCTCATTACATCCCCTCTCTGAAAAGAAGAAGAAAAAAATCTGTGCTAAAGTGCTGTGCTGCATGAATTTTTATAAGGATCCTCATTTTGTCATTATGTTTCTTCACAGGAATGAAGCTTCACGGAGAAAAAAACACTCAATCAGGTTTCCTCAGGTTTCCTACACCGCCCTCATCTGATCAGAAACTGCACCTCAGGTTTCCTACACCGCCCTCATCTGGCGGCTGAACTCCGTGAAAAAACTCTGGCCAAGTGTCTTTTGAACAAACTTAAATTGAAAACCGTCGCTCAGAAGTAGAAAAAAAGAAAACCCCTGACACAACACAACTTCAGACGACAAACATCTCAACTACGGCTGATGAAAGTCGTCCTCTACAGAGGGTGGACGAAGACCCGCGGGTGTCTGTGAGGTCTGTGAGGTCTGCGGGGCCACGCCCCTCTGTCACAGCACTGCTACGCAGCCTGAACAAGCCTCGACCCCGCTTGACTTCCATCAGGCCTCCTGCTGGGACCGTTAAACAAACAGACCCCCCTCCCTCCCCGTCAGAGCGTTCAGGATTTTACAGCTATGAAGGTTGTCACTGGACGACTGGTAGAGGACGAAACAGACGAAGAGACGGAGAGCAGGGCGTGGTGATGATGTCAGCTGTGGAGGAAGTTTCTGTGGTGTTTTTAGCTCAGTTCTCAGAGTAAACGTTACTAACCATTGGTCTGAGAACAGGAGCGAGCAGAACGGATGGAAGTGCAACAAAAACCAACAGAACCAAATCATATCATTTTGGTTCTTTGAAGTTCTGTAAATATTTCTGAAGTGACGTTTGTTGCTCGGTTCTGTCTGTTTTTGTTACTGCCCAAAATTATCAAACGCTTTGATTTTGTCATGGCATAAAAACCACGTCAACTGTGACAGAATCAGATAAGTTATCTGAAAAAAAAAAATCAGAACACATGCACTTTTTGTTAATAAATAACCTGGAATAAATCTTTCAAACAAACTGGACACTTCATCCGACTATGATCATCAGCAGCTGCACGACGAAGCCAAGCTTATATATAAATATACTGTATATAAAACATTCTTTATGAAAAAAGTCTAACAGTCTGTGGAAAAACACATTTACCTTGGATAAAACTGTGATCAATGATTATATTGCAGGTGTATTTTGATGCATCTGTTCTCTCAAAACAACAGCCACAGATTCAGATTAGAAATGAAACAACCCAAAATACTTTTTATACTGACAAAGTTTTTTTTTTTAAATAAATGGAGAGATTAAACATTTTGATAAAAAACAAGGCCTGTGACCTTTGACATTGGCAGCATGTACAGTCAATTGTGCGGTCAGCATTCAATCATCTGGACGACAGCGTCCAAAGGTGAAGAATGAAAAGCACAGCTTCATCCTGGTGCTGGGACAGAAGTGGATCATGACGGATCAGAGGAAACACAGCAGGAAACGGCTTCACTGCAGCAGCTGATCTGGCAGCGACGCTGAGAACATACTGTGGCTGCAGCCGAACAAGTGCATACAAGAGGAAGTTCAACTTAAACAAAGACATCACTTCCTGTAGAGTTTGTATTGCAGACTTTCTGTAATAAATCATGATGTCAGGTTTTTTATTCAGAGCCTGAGGCTTTTTAATACTTTTATATCCTCATCGAACGTCCGATCTATTTCCAGGGCCTCGCTCTCTGACGCCGTCCAAACACAGGATACAGGTTTTTCTTTGGTGCCACCTGCAAACCAACCTGTCGTCTGAGCAGACGGCGGCGGATTCAGGGAGCGGAAAATCATTTAATATTTTAATGAAAGACGTATTTTGATCTACAGCTATTAATACGGAGCAGGAAAAAGAAGGAGGAAACAGATCTTATGTGGTGAACCGCCGCAGGAAACTTCCATCATCTCCCTGCACGGCCGACGCACCGCGGCCACGAGGGCGATGACCAGGTATTGAGTTGCGGGGAGACAATACGGCGCTACCGCGGTATCACCGTCGCCGCAGCGGCCCATAACTGATACGGTACTGAGTGTCTCTATTGGTATTGGTGCGGATTTGAAAATAAACACAAACAGTTCTCATTTATCCAGTGAAGGTCATCGGAGCCGCGCGGCCGAGACACAAACAACTTTATAATCCTAAAAGTTACACTGAAAGACTGCGAGTACTCAGTACCACCATGTACAGAGTCCTCAGTACTACCATGTACCGAGTACTCAGTACTACCATGTACCGAGTACTCAGTACCACCATGTACAGAGTTCTCAGTACTACCATGTACCGAGTACTCAGTACCACCATGTACAGAGTACTCAGTACTACCATGTACCGAGTACTCAGTACCACCATGTACAGAGTACTCAGTACTACCATGTACCGAGTACTCAGTACTACCATGTACCGAGTACTCAGTACCACCATGTACAGAGTCCTCAGTACTACCATGTACCGAGTACTCAGTACCACCATGTACAGAGTACTCAGTACTACCATGTACCGAGTACTCAGTACTGCCATGTACCGAGTACTCAGTACTACCATGTACAGAGTACTCAGTACCAACATGTACAGAGTACTCACACACTTGAACTTGTCTTGACTGTGTGTTCACATGACAAACACACAGTCATCGTGCACTCACTCACACACACACACACACCTCAAACTGACAGGATGTTTTTCCGAGCCCCGTCTCTTAACCTGAACTATGACAAATATTTCCCTAACCTTCATCTTAATCCTAATCCAACTCTGACCCTCCATCTAATCCAAACTCCAACCTTCATCTTTAACCTTAAAAAAAAAAAACAACGCTCTCATTCGTGGGAACCTGCGAAATATCAACACAAGGACAAAAGTTCAAACGACGGAGTTCGTTTTTTTTTTTCCTTTACAAACAAATGTTTCCACCAAAATTTACACACACACACTTACACACACGCCTGAAAAGAGAGA